TGTATATATATATATATATATACTGTATATATATATACAATATAAATAGTTACGACAATTTTTTTACTAAATTATACACTAAATTGTTCTTTTTTTTTTTTTATAATTTTTGGAAATCTGTATGAAAAGACTTGAGAACTGGACTTTTTTTCCCCCCTACATTGTCCAGATAATTTATTTGTTTGAAAATGTATTTTTGAAAACTGTACAAAATGTTTAATCCAATGCAGCTTTAAATTGTGAACGAACCATGAAGAGAAAAGATTTTAAAAACTTTATTATCAAAATAAGTATAAAAATATAAATACTGTTATGCCTGTACATATGCAAACAGTCTATATATTAGACCTTTCAGTATGTTGATATTTCAATGTTTATATATATATATATATATATATATATTTGAAAACATTTGAAAATTGTGCATAATGTTTAATCCTTTGCAGCTTTAAATTGAGAACAAACCACAAAGAGAAAAGATTTTAAAAACTTTATTATCAAAATAAGTATAAAAATATAAATACTGTATAAAACAATGCGACAGCATTCAAACGACATGAACAGAATGACTGATATTCTACAAGTACACAATTCATTGTACAGCTCTAACTCTATGCTCTGAAATGAATCCACAGTTTGACAGAACCCATATAAACCTTCCACAGGAAAACTGCCTCTTAAACAGAGATATCAAGTAGTTTACATAATGATCATACTTGTAAAACATATTATACACATACTGCACCTATTTTAGACTTGGTCTGCAATAAAAGCTAAGCGTTTTTTTTTATTATTTTCGTCAGTTTTTTTAAGCCATAAACATCGATAGTGTAGAAAGCTACTATCACTCACCTTGGTTATAAAACACATTGTCCACACCATTGATTACAACAAATCCCTAATCTTAAAAAGGCATCTGTACCGATTCTTTTGGGGGGAAAGAAAGAAAGATAGAGCAAGAGAGAGAGCGAGAGACCAGAAGAAGAAGAAGACAAAGTTAAAGTAGACAAAGAGAAAAGAGAACGTCTACGTGAAGAGTTCCCAGTAGTTGAGCGCAATGTTCAAGTCTTCGTAGATTCGTCTATATGCTTTACACAGCAGAGAACAGAGGGAGACTTCAGTATGTATGTGTTAATTTAGTGCTCTGAGATATATTTAAGTGTGCTGTGTTGCATATCCGCTTTAAGTCTCTCTCTGGGACTCCTGCCCTATATACATATCCGCCAGTTTTTTGAACTGTGGACCCCAGTGACTCAGATATTCAAACTCTTGGTCCCCCTCGGTGGCGGCCGATTCCAGAGAGCTGAGGGACTCCGCCAAAGAGCCATTGCCTTCGTAGGCGTAGGTAGCCAAGGAGTCATAAGGGGGCGCTGTGGGGTCCGAGTCGTTTTCCTGCAGCCGTCCGTTGATAAAGTCCCTCACGTCTGTGTTGTCTTTGATGGGGGACGTGCGGCGGAAGGGGAACAGCATTTCGGGCATTATGTCCCGGCGGAGTTTATTGGTGTCGATGACCTCGGGGTTCCGCAGGGTTCCGATGTCGAAGGCCTGCGTGTCCTCCTCTCCGCCGCCCTCGTCGTTGTAGCTGACCACGTTGTCCCTGACGTCTTCTTTTGAGATGATCAGGGGCTCCTTTTTCTTTTGACGCCGCAGGGCCGCAAACAATACCACAATCACTATGGAGACAGAGACAGACGAATGAAATGATATCATCAGCATGGTGCAAATCAAGCTGAACAAAGCTCTGTGATAGTCATGCATTCTGAATGTCACTGAGACACCTGACACTCTGGTAACTACTGAGCCGAAGCAGTGCTTCCTACAGGCTTTTGCAGGATAATATGTCTTGAATACGTTCAAATTTGTTCAAAGTGGTATGTTATTACCATAAAATAACATACCAAAAAATTGCTGTGATATATTTTTAAATTAGAGATAATTTCACTAATAGCTAAATGATCACAAGTTTTTCAGGGACATTCTCATTTTAGAGAGTTTTTTTGTTTGGAAAAAAATCTTGACTATGCTGAAAATAAAATTGGTTTTGAAACAATTTAATTACAAGTAATTATAATGAAACGGCGAGTGAAACTGAATTGAATGTGAAATTTTGAAGTAGAAAGATTGAACCTTGAAAATGTCTTCTTTGTTTCTGTTTTATTTACAACATCTTACAACATGTGTAACAAGGACTCCTTAAAATAAAGTTTAAAATATTTTTTTTTTTCTCGCAATGCAGGATGAGTGATCAATATTGTTGCTCCAAAATATAATTCTTACAAATGATAACTTTGCAATTTTGTCTTTTAGGAGTGCGGTAGCATACAAATGGCTTCAAAGCTGCCACACATGGACTAAAAGTCCCAAAACTGGAATCGACTTGTCAGAAAGACGTCAGAAACTGATCAGATTTGCTTAGACCAGATTTTGTAAGTATTTTTTTTTTCTTTTTTTTAAGTACTTTTTTTTTAAAGGCTCATAAGAGAATTCAGACTAAACTGGTCAAACTGTGTTTGTGAGTTGGTTCATTCAGATGATTCACATACATGAACTGATTAAAAAAAATAAATAAAAATCATTGATATGTATGTGGTATTTTAGGTCCTAGGTTTACAGCAATATATTGATTCAGATGCCTTCATTAATACGTTTTTGAGATATAATTTGATCTATGCAATCATATTTCATTATGATATGGAATTCTATATTTGCATCATATAGTTTTGTTATATAATAGCTATAATTTAAAGTGACTAAAGTTACTTGTAGTTAGTTTCTTGTACACAGTTATTAAATAAGATATTTGAAGAATGTTGGTAACCAAACAGTTGACGGTAGCCATTGACTTCCACTGCATTTTTTTTTTCCATACTGAATGCCGTCAACTGTTTGGTCACCACATTCTTCAAAATATCATATTTTGTGTTCAACAGAAGAAAGAAACTAGTACAAGTTTGGAACAAATGGAGAGTAAGTAAATAATGACAGAATTTTTTGGGTGAACTATCTCTTTAATTCAGTGTATTACCTGCCATTTCACTGTAATCATTTGTGAAATTTACTAGCAATTTCTGATTGAAAATTGTTTCTACGCCATTTTTTTCAGAGTAGTGTAGCTTGTTGTAATAGCTTTTAGCTTAGCTAGCTACAGTTTCAAAGTAGTTTCCATCTCATTCAATTGAGACTGCATGTTCACAACTCACAAAACACGTCATTGCTTTTGCTTAACTGTTGTAAAAAGATACAGAGTACAATTGCTACGGCAACAAGCAAGATACACACCAAAGAGTGAGACTTATGATTAGGTTTAGTTAATTCAATCAGGGACAGACCAGACAATCGATGGCTAGGACAATAAAATTGTCACAGTCACCGAAAACAGAAGCACTGAGTCAGCTAAAAAAAAGCAGTTTTGCGGCTGCTCAGAGAATCGGATAGAGAAAGCGTGCATAATCTCAATCACTGCGGCGAGAAGAAAGGACTGCCGGAGAATCACAGGCTGTTCTTGGATGGCTAAAGCAGAGCACTCAGATAAGAACCCAGTGAGCAGCACGCAGCACTACAGAGAGCTTAGCTGAGATACAGAGGAGTGTGTTTCAAAAGGTGTCATGCGCTTAAGGTACTCATGAATACAGAAGAGAGAACACACACTGTAATGCAGATAAAGACTTATACTTGCCTGGAGCAGTCACCTTGCAGTTTTAAAATTGTGTAAGAAATAAAAAAGGGTTTGCGTTCTTCTCTTCTGAATTACAAATTTGCAAGGTTCCAAAGGGCACAGATGTAAGGCACCGCAGTAAGGCTTTTTTTTCATTATAACAGTACTTTTTTTGAGTAAGAGCGTAGAGATAATAAAAATAATAATTATTTTATTATAAAAACTAAAAAAAAAACGTCACGCAAAGTACTGTTAAAATGCAGGGACGTAAAAAAATTTAAAAAGATAAATGTGTCAAGCCTTACTACTGTGTTTTATGTCTATTATTATTCTACACTCTTAAAAATAAAGGTGCTTCACGATGCCATAGAATAACTTTGTCTAAATGATTCCATAAAGAACCTTTAACATCTGAAGAACCTTTCTGTTTCACAGAAGGTTCTTTGTGGCGAAGAAGGTTCTTCAGATTATAAAAAGGTAAGAAAGAAATGGGTCTTTAAAGAACCTTTGACTGAATGGTTCTTTGTGGAACCAAAAATGGTTGCTCAGAGAATCGGATAGAGAAAGCGTGCATAATCTCAATCACTGCGGCGAGAAGAAAGGACTGCCGGAGAATCACAGGCTGTTCTTGGATGGCTAAAGCAGAGCACTCAGATAAGAACCCAGTGAGCAGCGCGCAGCACTACAGAGAGCTTGGCTGAAGATACAGAGGAGTGTGTTTCAAAAGGTGTCATGCGCTTAAGGTACTCATGAATACAGAAGAGAGAACACACACTGTAATGCAGATAAAGACTTATACTTGCCTGGAGCAGTCACCTTGCAGTTTTAAAATTGTGTAAGAAATAAAAAAGGGTTTGCGTTCTTCTCTTCTGAATTACAAATTTGCAAGGTTCCAAAGGGCACAGATGTAAGGCACCGCAGTAAGGCTTGACACATCTCTTTTTTTTTCATTATAACAGTACTTTTTTTGAGTAAGAGCGTAGAGATAATAAAAATAATAATAATTGTTATTATTAAAAAAAAAAAAAAAAACGTCACGCAAAGTACTGTTAAAATGCAGGGACGTAAAAAAATTTAAAAAGATAAATGTGTCAAGCCTTACTACTGTGTTTTATGTCTATTATTATTCTACACTCTTAAAAATAAAGGTGCTTCACGATGCCATAGAATAACTTTGTCTAAATGATTCCATAAAGAACCTTTAACATCTGAAGAACCTTTCTGTTTCACAGAAGGTTCTTTGTGGCGAAGAAGGTTCTTCAGATTATAAAAAGGTAAGAAAGAAATGGGTCTTTAAAGAACCTTTGACTGAATGGTTCTTTGTGGAACCAAAAATGGTTATTTTATGGCATCGCTGTGAAGAACCTTTTAAGCACCTTTATTTTTAAGAGTGTATTCTATTTTTAATATATTATTATTAATTGATTGAGTTATGATTTGGCCATGGAAATTATGATTAAAAAATGATTATGATTATTAATCTGATTGATTGATTAATTTGCGATTAATTAGATAAAAAAATGTAATCACTTGACAGCCCCAGTTATAATTCATGAAGTTATAAATTAATAATTATGAATTATGTTTTGCAAAATGAGTGGAATCATTCAATCTGAATTTATTAAAGTCTATTGCTATAATGACATCCCTACAATTTAAATTATATGTCTGTATATAATTTATAGAATGCAGTATTCATAGAATTATAAATTGCAGAACATTGTGCAATAATTTTTTTTTCTGTCATTTTTCAATGTTCATCAACTAACCTGTCAAAACAGTTAATTTGCTTAGAATATTTGATTTAGTGTTTTTTGTTTAATTGCACTTTATTTTTAAAAGAAACAAAATATGATATTTTATTAATTTTGCAAAGATATCAGATGGCGCTGTTTAAGATGCAGGCCTTTGCGCTGAAATGCATCATGTCAAGTGCTGCCACTGTTTGGTGAATTCACCACATAATGTTCATACAGTCTGTTGAGCTTGAAGAGACGAGAAGAGGGAATTATGGTCCTAAAAAGGGAACAGGTGCTGTAGTTTTCAACTTGTTTTTCTTTTTCAGTGGCTGCTCTCTCCTCCCAGCAGGTAATCGGAGAGCTCGCCCCTGCCTCCCACTCAGGTGTTAATTATGAAGAAGGAACGGTGGGGGGCAACATGCTGTGTTCTGCCCAGCCTGGGGGCCTGTGGTGTGTGCAGGGCTCATTCTGTGATCTGGAAAATAAATGGTGGTGGAAGAGTGTGGGCTGGATGCGGATATTTCTCGCTCTGGCAGCGTAAAGCAGCTACTTCCTCTATTAGTGCATATTCTGGGCTTTGCATTAGCCAGCTCATCAGAAAAGGGTGCAACAGGAAAGGATGTAAAATTAGGGGCAAATGGAGAGCAGGAGCCTGAGGAAAGAAAAAAAAAAGCAGAAAGATGCAATAGTTTGTTCTGGAAAGACTCTGCCCTCTGTAACCTGTCCACTCAGCGCCAGTAGACGGGTTTAGGGGAAGATACTGAAAATGGAGAAGGATAAAGGGGAAAATATCCATATTAAGTTTGCCCAGAGAGCATCGGTGGTGGACTAGATGGTGCCTGCGCAGGGGAACAGCAGAATATGAGATGGCAGAAGTGGTTGAACACACGGCGCACAATTGTCTGTGTTGTGTAATGGGTAGAAACGTATACATGTGGACATATAATTTTGGGGTGAAATTTAAAGGGGCCATGCACTTACGGAATTTAACTTTTTCTTAATGTTTGCTTATAATGTAAGCGGTGTGTGTGTGTGTGTGTGTGTAGCTCATATTCCCAAACTTTTGAATGGTAGTGTATCACGGTTTCTGAAAAATATTATTTATATTAATATGTATTTACTGCATCTTTTTATCAAATGAATTCAGTCACTGTGAACCTGACATCTTACAAAAAACGTTTAAAAAAATCATAATTATCCTAAATTTTTAACCACACTAATTTGAGAACAGTGCTTTGTTTACTTTATGACTTATGATTTAACTTTATGTACTCATGAATATAGAATATGTGTTGATATTTAAACATGATAAAGTTTAAAATGATTCGTCGTGTAAAAGAAGCAGTAAAGTTAACTACTTTTCCAAAATTGTAGCTACTTATGGGTTTTGAGAAGCTTGTAGCTTGACATTTTAAAACAGCTTCCCCAACAACACCAACTTTGATACAGTACATAGCAAAAAGAAAAACACGACTTGTGGGTCTCAGGATGCTGTTGGTGAATTTAAATGAGTTCAAGAACTGAGGCGACATGACTTAAAAGTAATAATTTATGAAGCATTTTTGATGTCTTCATAAAGTTTGACAGTTTTTAACATCTCTTGCTGCTTTGCTTTGTACTTTAAGATATCATCAGTAAAGAAAATAACTGGGTGAAAAGTTAGGCTAGACATTGAATATGTAATGCATTCGAGAGGACAGCTGCAAACAGGTTCTATGCTGAATTTGTTAGAACTTTAAACACAAAGTTAAATTGCTTGACTGGTGCACAATACAGCTGATGCATGAAGAAGCATTGATGCTGGAGTAAAAGTCTTTACTTGAAACATAGCTATTTTATTTCAAAATAGATGGTACAGTATGTCTTTAATATGTATAAACAAATGGAGACCGCTTCGACCAGCATAAATAATAGATAGCAAAGTCAACCTGAAGTTCCTAAAAATATTTTGTTTTACCGATTCGTACAGAGGCAGATAATAGAAAATGCAGAATGATGACGGATTGCCTCAGGTTAGATTGGAGACTTGAGAGATGCACTCACCAGCAGTTTGAACAATTACTTATTGATGGATGTTTTAACTTAAGCACAACATATTTTTCCTTTTCTCTGCAGAAACAACACAGACACATGCTGTTCAGAACCAGCTGCGCTTTCATACTGCATTACTTTGCACAAGTGGCATTTTAGGACGTCAAGAAGGAGCATGCAACCTACTTAAGCCCCGGAAGAACACAAAGGCCTTTTTGTCAATTGCATACATTTAATAATGAAAGCTATTTTTCCACACCGCTGCACTTTCTGAGAAAAGCAAAGAACGAGAGAGAGAGAGATAGCATCTACAGTAATGTCTTAATGGGGTGCCCTACTTTTTGATTGTCTGGAGGAAATATTTTGAGAAAATTCAAAGTAAAAATGAATAAATAACAAAATAAACGTCGCAAGAAGGATGCCGCACGGCCCACACTGTGCTGCATCATCAGAATAGCAGGACAAGAGGTCAGGATGCATTACACTCTGCTCGCCAGACACATCGCTGAGATGTTACAAGCGCTTATTTTTGACCATGTCCTCTGGACAAATCTGTTAAATCTTTGGTGTCGTTTTGAGATCGTGACTAAATATAAGAAAATTTATTTATTAAGCAGGCTGCATCAGTCCAGAAAAGATATTGTTATCAAATGTGCCACAAAAATGTATGGTCTCCAAATTTCCCCAGAACTGGATGAAAGAAGCATAATGTCTGTAAAGTTTTCAGAACAGCAACAGTCTGTTTCAAACAATCTGTCTGTCTGTCTGTCTGTCTGTCTCTCTGTCTATCTCTCTCTCTCTCTCTCTTTCTATTTTGGTCTGTCTGTCTTTTGTCTGTTTGTTATCTGTCTGTATTGTCTTGTCTGTCTTGTTTTCTATCTGTTTGTGTTATCTGTCTGTCTCTTTATCTGTCTTTTTGTCTGTCTATGTCTTTCTGTCTGTCTGTCTGTGTGTTTGTATTGTCTGTCTTTCTATATGTCTGTCTGTCTCTTTGTCTGTCCGTTTGTTTGTATTTTATGTCTGTCTCGTCTGACTGTTTGTACTTTCTGTCTGTCTCTTTGTCTGTCTGTCTGTCTGTTTGTTTGTATTGTATCTGTCTATCTCTTTGTCTGTTTGTTTGTATTTTCTGTGTCTCTTGTCTGTCTGTTTATCTGTCTGTCTGTATTGTCTGTCTGTCTGTCTATCTATCTATATATCCATCTACCTACAAATTAATTTTAACTCTAACAAATGATTATTGTGAAGTTTTAAATTATCTACCGACAGCACATCAAAATTAATTAAAAAAAATGTAATACACCTTTTTTGGAAGGTGTAAGACTTTTAAACAGAGACTGTGATAAACCGGCCAGGTTTGCGGATCCACGAGAACGTGTAGAACATAATGTGTGGCCACTTCTGAAGTCCACAGCCAATCAAAACACTGTGCCAAAGTACAGCCTCCTCCTCATCAGAAGGTGATTAATGTATCTTCTGAGTAAACACACCCTGTTCTGAGCCTGCAACCAAGAGATGTACGACTCAATCACAAAAGCATCCCGCTTCTGACCCGAAGAGGTCAGACACAACAAGAGAAACAGCTAGAAACCCAACAACCTTTCTCCTGTCTCTGTTTGAGCCTTGTTGATTGTACTGCAGAGCCACAGTGTTTGTACTTTTTGGTGAGTTCAGTCTGTAATGTGGTTACATCAGTGCATATAGATTATATATGAAATGCTTCTAAGAAAGTGCACTACATATGGTTAGAGGATTCATATCACGCATTAGAGTAAATAAAAATGATGCAAGTAAAGAGGGCTGCTATGTTCAGGGTGGCCTAAATCAGATCCGGATTAACCATATGGACAATTGGGCATCTGCCCAGGGGCATCATGTTCAGAGTGGCACCATGCAGGGCCATATAAATGTTTTTAAATAGCTAAACATGACCCAATGCTGTATATTTACAGGAGTTCAACACTTACTCAGTAATATTAAAATGCAGAGTAAGATGGCCACCAGGGCTCCGGTGCTGAGTCCAGCTGAGAGCAGCAGGGCTTCGTTACTGCATGTCTGCACATTCCCACGGCTGTCGCAGGCACAGACACGGACCGTCAGCGTACTGGTGCTGCTCTGGATGGGATAATCGTTGTCTGAGATGACGACAGGCAGCAGGTATGAGCTCATCTCTCTTCTGTTGAAGCTGCCCCGGCGGGTCAGGATCCGCGCTGTGTTGTCTACAAGACAATAATGTCAAGATCAAAAGAGATACTGAGACTAGTGTGTAATAGACTGTGTTGTTTTCAAAGCTTAAGTATTGAGCTGCGGTTTAGCTAGCAATGTAATTGTTGCGTCTTTGGCATCGTGAATAATATGTTTTGAATTAATTAAAACACAGTAACTGTTTGTAGTTTGCTTGCATGACAGATGTGCATCTGTAGTGTACTATGACTTATGCTGATACTGTTTTCAAGTACAAACATACTAACTATGAAGAGCTGTAGCCGATTGCAAGGTTAAGTGTGTTATGTGTGCCTCTAGTGGCACCAAATGGAATTGTAAAAAAAGAAATAGTGACTGTTTTCAAACAGGTTCCCCAAATAATTCACCCCATCTGCTTTGACATCTTTGAAGGAAATTAATATGTAAGTATTTTTTTTTTTAATTGTAACTTATGTCTCACAAATGTGATTTTATTTCGCCTAACTGTGGCTTTGTGGTTTGCATATGCAACTTCATATCTAAACATTTATTTAAAATTGTATATGAAAATAATTGCAACTTTCTACCCCAGATGTGAGACTAAATTTCTGTTCAAAAGTTTGGGGTCAGTAAGATTTTTATTTTTTTTGAAAGTGCAGTGAAAACACATTTCATAATAATGTGAAACATTATAACAGTATAAAACATATGCTTCTATTTTAATATATTTTTTAAAAGAAAGTAATTAATTCCCAAGATGCAAAGCTGCATTTTTAAAATCAATTACTCCAGTCTTCAGTCACATGATTCTTCAGAAATATCATTCTAATATGAAAAACCTTTTTTAACATTATAAATGTCTTTGCTGTCACTTTTGATCAAATGAATGTGTCCTTGCTGAATAAAAGTATTTATTTCTTTAAAACAAAATCTTACTGAATGGTAGTGTATATTATTATAGAGTATTTTTATTTAAACTTTAATTTATATTTGGAATCGCAACCTTTTGTCTCAGCATTTATATTTTACATTGTATTTCTTATTTTAAACGTATCTCACTATTTTCAATCTGATGCAGAAATGGTTTTCCATTGAATTACCTTCATTGTCGAAAATGGTGAAGTTTGGATTGATGGTGCTTAGACTGAAAACAAACTTGTGCCCGACAAGAGGTTCATCAGTGTCCACAGCACTTATGGTCTGGATGAGCTGGAAACATAATAAGCTAAGATGATTCACTGTTTTCATTTCATTCTAATTCAACATAGAACTGTGCAATATAACAAAACCATCCTAGTCATAAATGTAGCTCTAAAGCTCCACAGAACAGCAGAAAAACAAAGCAAGCAGAAGTGTTTAATAAAATATTTGTGTGAAACAATGAATAAACATGAAACTGCAGCATACCTGACCAGCTTTGACATTCTCACAGACAAAGGTCTCGTAGTACATGGCGAATTCAGGCGCATTGTCATTCACGTCGCGCACTTTGATAAACACCGGCACTCTGGTTTGCAGGGCAGTACCTAGACGCCAATGATGAATGCGTTTTAGCAATTGAGGAAGCTATTCCGTTTGCATTCAAGAGGTCTAATTTTGTTTCTCTCTATTTGTCTTTCAGCCTTTTACCCTAGGCATACATTCTTCTACCGAGAATGCAGAAAGCATGAATTAAACCACAACCCAAGGTGACAGTTTGATTTTTGTCATCAGTCATTTATTGTATTGCTGTCGTTTTAGCCATTTCTGAAAATGTCTTGAGGCTCTAAAAGTTTTAGTCCACCTGTGATAACATAATTATTTTAACAGGTTTGAACAAACAAAAAA